TGTGCTGGTTGTTGGCACTTTTTACTTGACAATCTAAGAGAAAGAGGTCAGTGCCCCTGACTAAATAGTCAGGTATTGCATGTTTAAAAATTCTCACCAGTTGAAAATGCTCTAGGAAGAATTCAAAATACATTAGCATAAATGAGCATTTTATTAAAGCTAAGACATATCATATTGGGTATGATAGCTAGTCTCTCAAGATGATGATTAATATTTTTTTAAAAAGCCAAACACATTTTTATAATTAAGGCAGAACATGTTTTTAAGCATACTATTATTTAAATAGATAACATTGTGTGTCCATTTTAGAGTTTCTATTAAGAGACATTATACCATACAGTTATCTTTGTTTCAAAAGAATTAGGCCATGACCCACTTCATATCTCAAAGACCCAGGAAAGCTACTAGAATTCTTCTTGGCGAATGAAGTAATGTCATCCCTTCCCCCAGGCCTGAAGCAGAGCTGTTCCATGCTCATTATGTGATCAAGTGACCACGGTTCTTAGCTATAATCAGACTTGTCAAAACATTGAAGAAGAAAGCAGAAGACTCTGGCAGCCTGGAAAATGCATCAGCAGTAGAGTATAGCCAAACTACCTTTTGTTAGGATGACTACAAAGTGATTTGGCTAAGAGTTTGGAAAAACATGAGTCATTTGCTGTCCCAGTTTTTCTTTTGTCCCTTGAGTGTTATCAAATGATAGTAATATCTATGCATGTTACAATCTGATGTAAATAAATAAATAAATAAATAATAAATAAATAAAACAGTGAAGGAAGGTGGGGCAGGGTTACAAAGAATAGACTGTGTGAAGGCCAAAATACCAGGTTACTTACATTGTTGAAGTAAGACAAGGAGAATATGATGGCGGGCGTAACTACAGCAACCATCCCTGAAGACTGGGGGGACTTGTCAGGTCAAAGCCAAGAAATTCCAAATAGCTGTACATGTCTCAGTCCTAAGGGTAGACAACATGAGGTCAGAGTTTATTATAAACATATCACTTCACAATGGATAGAGTTGGGACTGTGGGTGAAACTTGAAAATGCCCTTATGATACAGAAATAACAGTAAAAAGGGAAGTTAGTCCTGGTTTAAGCACCTATGAAGAATAAGTGTACTGTCCAGGCCGCTCACTGAATTTGGAAGATATAATAAAATGACAACTTATCATTGTGAACATTAGGATATCATGTCCAGAGCTTCCAGTACTGATAACTTCATATTACTCATGATGAGTCAGCTCAAGGATTTTAAATAGAAAGGAATCAGAAAACAAAGTATAAACCCTGAAAATTACATTCTGCAGTAAGAAAAGAAATGAGTATGGGAATACAAATAAAGTGTTTTAGAAATGGGTAAAGAATTCCATCAATTCTGAAGGAAATATTTTGAATAATCTGAAGTCCACACTTATTTAAATCAAGTATAAAAAAAGGAGTCTTTAGAAGATCTTGTTAGAATAACTTATCTATTTCTTAAAATTTCTGTAGAAAAACTTTAATTCCAGGTGATTTTTGCCCTGCTACTTAATGTTATATTTCTCATCCTTCCTGATTATGTAAATTAGTTTGTTGATTTGGGATCATTCTGCTTAAAGATTAGAATAAGCAAAACATTACTTATAAGTTATGTCTCTGAAACATTATTTTTTGTTATCCACTGCTTTATAATGTTTGCTGTCTCAGTGTGTTCAGCTACTATAACAAAATACCACAGGCTAGGCAGCTTGTAAACAACAGGAATTTATTTCTCACAGTTCTGGAGGCTGGAAGTCCAAGTTCAAGAGGCCATCAGGGTCATGTTCTGGTGAAGGTCCTCTTGCTGGTTCATACTAGTAGCTGCTGTCTTCTCCCTGTCAAAGGTGGAGGGAACCAGGCAGCTCTGTGGGGTCTGTTTTATAAAGGCGTTAATCCCATTTATGAGGGCTCCATGCTCACAACCTACGCACCCCCGAAGGCCCCGCCACCCAAGATCATCACATAGGCATTCAGATTCCGACACGTGAATTTGGGTGTGGGGGATACAAACATTCAGACAAGAGATTTGCTGTTCCCCTGTAATAATGTGGCGTGTCAATCAAATGCTGAATACACGCCTTTAGACAATAAAACACTGGGCTAAGCATATTTGGAATTAGATTCTAGTCCTAGCCTTTTCGCTTACTTGTGGTGTTCCTGAACAAAATCACAACCAGCCTGAACCTGTTTCCTTATCAATAAAATAAAGTATCAGATATGCTACACATCCCATGAGAATTTTGAGAGTGAATTAGATAAAGCCAGTAACAATTGTGCTGACTTGTAAAGTACCTGTGAAAAAGGGCAGAGTTGAAACTCACATTTATGTTTTGGTTGCATTAAATTACTTGTATTGAAAGAGACTGGATTTCCAATTAGTCCATCGGAATTGTGACAGGGTGAAGAAGAACAGATAGCCAGTGGTACAACAGGTATGTAGAAAAGAGGAGGGGGAGGAGTAAAAAGGTTGATGTGGACACAGATGAGGAAGGGGTGAGAAAGGAGATGGAAAGAGATGAGTTACATGATATGAGAAAAAAAAAGAGAAGGAAAAATAGGGAAGAAAAGAAGGCCACTCATTCTGAGACTGGGATATTTCACTTCCAAGATATGGACCCACTTTTACTGCTCAAGTAGCCAACCACCCTAGGCCCTCTTCCCTATTTTTGAATGGGGGATGTTAGAGTTGGAAACTTCTCCACCTTTACAAGAGCTATCTTGGCCATAGCCTTTTAAGTTTTTAAATCTACCAACCCAGGGCACTGACATCCTATGAGCTTTATTCCCATTCCCTCTTAGTTACATTCTCCTACTCCACCATCAAGGCATTCCATGAAGCACCCCCAGTGCACACAGCTGACTATGGTCCCAGCCGCCATTAGTTAAGGTAAAAGGTAACACTGAAGGACTCTTTAGTTACAAGCTCATCTAGGACCCAGGAGAGCCCAACACACACACCCTTACCTGACTTCCTTTTTAACCCTCCGTTCTTCCCGAAGCACTTAAAAATCTTGCTTCTTTGCATATGCTTCATTTGGGCAGATGATCAGAGTCCTACAGCTCTTTTAAGGGATTTTAGATTAGAACAACTGAACACCAATATGGGCAGAATCTGTTTTTACTGTTTGTTTTTAAAATATTTTTATTGGTTTCAGAGAGGAAGGGAGAAGGAGCAAGAGATAGAAACATCAATAATGAGAGAATGAATCGGCTGCCTCCTGCATGCCCCCCACAATGGGGCTGGAGCCGGCAACCTGGGCACGTGCTCCAACTGGGAATCTAACCATGACCTCCTGGTTCAGAGGTCGATGTTCAACCACTGAGCCATGCCGGCAGGGCTGTTTTTCTATTTTGAGGGATCTGTCCTGAGCCTGACAAAATTTTAAGTTAGAGGCAGCTGGTCTGATCCAAGAATATTCTAGGACGATAGAGCAATAGTAAGGACAAAAAGAAAAAAGCTAATGTTTCCTTTTCTCAGACTGGGCATATTTTTACTAAGATCTCCCCCTACTTTTGCCCATTTTTGTGTGTGTGTGGATTATGGACACTCTATCTTCTTTGTTAATTCCTCCTATCTCCCTTAGGCTTGTTTATGGAAGAACTGTCCCTGACACCCTCAGTTTTGTATCCAATAGGAGAAAAGCAGCAACATTAAGTTTCATCAGTTGTATCCTAATTTGTACTTTAGTGAGAAGTTAAAAAAATCATACTGGGAACTATTAGTAGGGATATTAACAAAACATGAGGTTTTGTTGGACGTTTAATAGGTCTATCTTAGAAACCCCTATAGTAAGAGGTAGAGTTGCTAAAATATTGAATTGCCTTCACCAGGTGTCTCACACACCAAGGACAGCCCTGTGACTTGAGCACATTGATAAAAAGTCTATCATATCAAGATTTCAATTATCCCATTTATCTGACCCTACTGCAATAGAAAAGTCAAGAACATATGGCATGTTTTTTTTTAACAACTTTATTTTGCTCTTGTCAATATTATAAACCAAGAAAATTTGATAAATATTTCTTGCTGATCTTGAAAAGATCCCTCATAAACTTAATACTAGAGAGTAATTTATTAAGCTCATCTTTTTTTTGTTCTTGTTAGTTCCTTTGTTTGCTGTTTCCCCCCACATGTTAATATTTTGAATTAAAGATGGTCAGTGAAGTAAAATTTCACTTGAATTTGTAGTATTTTTATTCTGTGTGGCTTATAGAAGTGAAATTATTGAAAAATGTGATAAAGATCCAAGAAATTCTGTGCATACTTATTGATGAAGAAAAATTCTAACAGCTCTCTCAAATGTGATGGTAGACTTACGTACAATTGGCGTGGGATAAGCAAATAGCTGAAGCTAAAGGAAGTGAGTTTGCAAATCCTAAGTGCCCTTTTACAAACTTCTCATGTTAAAACAAACTTCCTTTGTAAAATCTGAAGAGAATATCATGACTCGCATAATTGTAGTATAACGAAGCAGAATAGACAACCACCTTTTTGCCAGTGTGATTCAACAATCTGTGACTTACACTTTAATCTTGGTCTGAACCTAAGAAATGCTGGTTTCTAATATGGATAGTGAACATTACATGGACTGCTTGTGTAATTCACTGTGTACTTTGGAGCAAGTCACAACTCTCTTCCCTCAGGTCTCACTTTTTTCTTCTATAAGTAAGGGATGGACCTGTTAGATTTGTTTAAGGGTAAAATAAGATATAAACTTTCTGAAGAGGTGAGAGATGTCATCCTTAACAAATCATGAAACCAACAACTGAACACCCATATGGGCAGAACCACTTGGTTCTCTGCTGTGGTGGGCTGCATCGTAATGGTGGGGGCTGCTGAGACCACGTATCCAAATCTCTGAGTCAGGCAACATGACACACACCACAATGGCCATGATAACACCAACAAGCCAGATGCCAGTGAACATTTTAATCTTCTGCATATGCAAGATGTTTGTGAATAGAATTTTCACCAGAAAGTTTTTATAGCAAACTTTTATGCCAGAAGTTTATTTTATTGGTAAAATATTAAATAATATACAGAATTAAAAACTGCACTTACACTTCTGAGAAGAAATAAATCTTGGACAAATTATATGCTTGTTCCTGAGATTCCCTAAATTTATTCCAGTAGCTGTGCACTCAGACAGTACAAACCTTTATAATATAATCCTTTTCACAAAGTATTACAAAGTTTCTGCAGCTTTTTAGTGGTACACACATACAGACACACACTCACACATGCATATACAACACTCATACACATATACACGGTACCCACATACATGTGCAGAACATGTATGTGTGTGCATTAAAAACAAAGAAAATACAAGTCCCATAATTTAATCTGCAGTGATGTTGGAGGTCTCCAAATTGGTGTGTAGCAGAGTGCCTTGTCACACAGCTGCAAAGCCTGTCTCAGTATTTCCATAGTAAACCTCATTTTCTGAGGTATGGTAATTGAGCCTTAAAAAAACTACATTACACTGAGCAAACCTGACATACAAGGTCTGGAATTTCAATTTTACATATATATTTATATATATTTCTTTTTTAAACAATAGCTTTATTTTCCCAAATTATTAGTTTGAAAAAAAATGAGGTTTACTGGTTTGACCTATTTTTATTTGTATTTTTTTGCCTCTACAACTCAAAATATCCTAGAAACTGTCAAGCAATTAGTTTTTAAAGTAGTCTAATTACCTTTGGTATTGTTAAAGAAAAAAAAATCTAAAATGGCCAAGACATATACTGTACAAATGCAGTAACTGCCTTTAAGAGAAATGCCAAAGAAATGTCATCTTTTAACAAAATATGTATTTACATTACAGCAGTTTCACTACAGGGACACAGGTATAAAAAAAGAAAACCAACAAATGGCATATAAATATGTATGATACGAAAAATACTTCTTACTTAAATTTGTATGAAAACAGGAATGCTCCAAATATTTCTTAAAAATTTTCTCCAATAAGTGATAGGCAAGTGTTTAAAATGGAGCGAAGTGCTTTGCTTTCATTTTAAAGTTCATTTTCAAAAGGAGAAAATCGAAATAAAAAATATTAGGTTTTTAATTTAAAACATCAAGCAAGGGCCTAAGAAGAAAGTTCAGTCAACTTGAGGACACACTTCTCAGGCAAAAGAGTTCTAATTTCAATGGGAATTTAGCCTAAATTACGTGCCATGAGATTAGATCGATGGTTTGTACATTCTCTGATTTTTTTTTGACTGAGGAGTGTTTTTCTCTTTGCTTTTTGTGTCCTTTGACTAACATACCATGGTTTTCAAGGGTTTCTTTTTTCATTAACTAAAGAAAGAATAGTTCAGAAAACAAACAAAAAAATAACCATAGTTTTTAAGACTTTAAGGAAAGTATTGCACTTGTACAGAAAGAAAAGAAAAATATCTTTTAAACTAAAAGCAGAAGCAATCATCCTAGAATTGCAAATAACACATGGTCTAAAAGGTCCGACTAGTAAGAGCAAATGTGGAGCCTGGAGTGTCCCCTCTAAACCTGGAATAACATTAGAGTACTGTTAAAGCATTTTCTCCCAACTGGGAAAGAGTTAAGACTTTTGCTTTAAATTTTTAACATCTTCCTAAATATTTGCAAAAATTGTTTCACCTCTCATAATACACACTTTCGAAGAAAAACCAAATTAGAACACAAAATTCAACAAAAAAGGAAGGCAAACATACTATATGATGATTATGTAATCTCTGAAGTCATATTTTAGGTATCCAATATTTGAAAGGGAAAGTAACACAAAGATTATATATCTTACCATTTTTATCCCAACTACTTTTTAAAATATAAAACTACACTTGAGTATAAAAATATGTCAGCAGATTATACAGCCAACAGAAATCACGCACAAAAAAATTAAGACTTAAGAGACCCATGAATTAGAAATAGGATTTGAGCTAATCTTCAAACTAGTAGGGGGAAAAGAAAAGAGAGGCAGAGACACCCAAAGACAATGATGGAAGCGATATGGACAGAGAGGAAAAAGGGTGGAGGACATCAGACAAAATTTAAGAAGAGACAACAAAGAGAATTTGTTACACAGGAAGGGGACATGATTTATGTTCAAAATCTGAGGGTGCTTGGCAGTCATTTTTTTTAAAATCACAGTTTCAGAAATGGAACTACTTAAAAAAAATAAACACAAAAGAATAAAACAACAAAAACAAAACCCAGAGTCCTTCCCTTATTACAGTGTATTCAATGTTTTAAATTCATTTCCAGTAAATTAAATTAAGTAGAATCCTGATAAGTGCATAGAAGGGGATTCAGTGACCTCCACCCATCAGAGAAGCTTTTCTTACTGGGTGTCACTTGAGGTAATTTGAAGGCCCAATTGACTGCAAACTGGCTTGTCTGTACCCATATGAAGTTATATGCCATACTTTCCGTGGTTTAGCAGAGGGCCCCTACATTTTATATTTTATTCACAATAAAAAGGACATCGTAGAAAACTAGTCATTCACATACTATTCTCTGTATGGGATAAAGGTTATTTCACAACACATTTATACAGAAAATATACAAATGCAATGTTACGGGAGAGAAACCCCATAAACAGAATTAAGAACTTATTTCTAAGAGTGCATGTGAAAAATATCCACAGACTTACAGTACAGCAAGAAAAAACTAAAAAGCCAGAAATAGAATGTTACATGAAAACCTTACGGAAATTTCAAAATTTTAGGTTTCTGCAAAAAATGTAAAAATAGTTAAGGTGTCATTATTTGGCCTAGCAATACACCATGAGAAAAGAAACACTAGCATATCACAGCTTCTTGGTCATATGACATTTGCTTTGTATAACAAGCAGCTTATTGTTACTATTTTTATTTTTTAAAAGCTGTCATATCCTTGCATTCCTTGCAAGTAATATACAACCATGGTAGGAAACCATTTGAGATTATGCTTTGGAGAATAGCAGTGTGATCTGTCTGTTCAGTTTTGTTTTGTTCAAGGAGAATTAATTACCTGCTTCTTTACATTATTTCATTAAACATTAACAGATTAGAAGACTGAGGTTCTAAGACTACCACAATGCTAGTCCTTAGATGAAATTCCAAACAATACTCTGTTTTATTGAGCAAAAATCCCACTAATAATGCCTTGTATGATATCAGAACTTATTTTTCCTTCAAAACAAAACAAAACAAAACAAAACACATACCATAATGCAATTCACAGCTAAAACTTCCATCTACCTTATATTTCACCAGCATAGCCTTGTAATGGCATTCAGAAATACTATTTAACTAAAAAGACAAAATCTGGTTTCAAAATTTTCTTTGACTTTGCACAGATGAGCTGAAAGTCTCTGTATTGAAAATTCTTCTAACAGTGTTGCCCTAAAAATGTGAAGATAAATTATATAGTGCTCAATTTTAAGTGATTTTTAAAAATACATAGTAAAAGTGTTGTAGAGGTACAACAGCTAATCAACACTCTCTCAATGCATTTTAAAAAGGCACCAATATAAAAAATTTTGTAAGTATTTAATACATTAAATTAAGAATCTTAAGAGACCAGTTACTGTATATTTTAATTATTTTGCAGAAACTGGAGGTTTAAAAACATTTCTAAGATAACTTTCCTATATACAAACTATAATTTCTCCGCCACTCTTTTTTTCCTGTGCATTTGGGGAATTCCTGTTTTAGAATAGTCTTAATAAAATAGTATTTGCTACAATAATATTTCGAATGTAAGTAAAGATGCAACGTAACATCCCTTTTTGTAAAAATGAACAATTTAAAGTTGAAAAATAACACAGCCAGTACCTTATAATCTAAGTTCTGTCTTGAAACTAAGGCCATACAGATTTTTGTTTGTATTTTTGCAGCCTTTTCTTTTTCTACTTTAATGAATGATTTTGGAGATAAAATGAATTAACAGTGGAAAATAAATAAACCAATTTTCATTGAAATGCCTTCACTGGTATAAAATTTGTGAAATATTAAAATATCATAAAGACTTCAGGGTGGTTGTGTGAGGTGTACAACACACACAAAACAATACCAAAATCACTAAAATTCTTTTGTTTTTGTCCATCTGTCATTTACATAGCAGTTGGGGTGTTTTTTTTTTCTTCTGTATCTTCCTATCCTAAAGTAATTTGTTTCCTTCTCTTTGGAGATTATATAAAATCAGCTTAAATTCTCTACTTTTTTTGACTGTTTTGATTTCTTCTGAAGTAGATAGTTGCAACTTTCAATAGTTGCCAAATAGTCCTAGCGACACGCTAGTAACTTCTTTAATATTTCTTAATACAATCTGGTAAGAAGAAAGCTCAGGCATTAACAGTAGTTAGCTCTCTATATGCTCTTGCAACACAGCTGACCACTCTAATTGCTTCTTTTTATACATTTTCTTTAAAAGACTGTATGTGTGTATACATAATTGCTTGTATGTATGTAGGAGATACCCTCCACGTTGTAGCCAAATCTAAATCCTGCTCTCTTATTCTCCCATTTTGTCCTTCTAGAATATTCTCAACGGAATGTTTCAGCAACTCGAAATCGCTTCTGATCTGCTGATTGGTCACTTCCACTGTTGTAAAAAGCCAGGTTAGAATGGCTTTTTAAGTGATTGACCACCAATAGAGAGAGGCTGCAGATTTCTCCAGCAAGAGTTGGAGAGAAAATTCTGGGCAAAATTAGGGCAATGCAGTATGATGAATTTCTGAATTTTTGCCAACATGGAAAACACAGAAACTAACCCATTTTTATGCCCCTTAAATACTCTGTATTGTAAAATCCCAGCTGAATAAACTGGGCATAAAACTGTTCTATAAAACTTGACTTATTTGGTGTCTGACCCCCATACTTATTTTTAGGTGCTACCACCTTGCTTATTTCCTTTAGTGAAGAAGAGGCAAGCAAATATAGCCATCCAGATTTCCCAGAAAGCACCGTGTCCACAGAAATTCTTCCTAACCTACACACTGGAATCGACCTTGTCCTCATTTGTCCCAGCGACACCCTGAGCCATCTTTACCTCTTTCTGTTCCTCAGATCATGAGGCTAAGAAAGTACAAGCACACACTTGTAGCAAATGCACTTGCATAAGTACCAAGTCCCTTCGATAAAATAGATCCCTAAAAAGATACAATCACAAAAGGAGAGTGCATGAGTCCTGTCTTCATGGGGCACTACACAACTCTTTAGATCCTCCTAAATTCAATTTCATCCCAGGGCAGGTACATCATTGTTCACACAATTTTTTTTTTAATCGGAAGCAGGAAGAAAATTGAGACAATGCCAGCAGGAATTCACACACAGCCAAAGTTATGAACATACTGACTGCCACCCAAATGTTCCTTTAAATTGCGGTGAAACACAAAATCACTAATTTAAATGATTTACCTACCACCGAAAGGCAAAAACAAAATCTCAATTACTTATGATTGGTTAGGGTGGAGGGGGGAGGGTCTCAAAGACATGCATTAGTTTTGAATGAGCTGTATATTAATGCACCAATGTACCAAAGCATGCAAGAGAAAATAAAATGACAGTTGACATTCTATTTAAAACATTTCACATCTCTGTTTTGGTGCCTCTCTTAGATTTAAGGAAACAGTTTGGACATTTCTCCAAGAATAATTACAGCAGGGGCTAGTAAAAGAGAGCTGAGTGGGGACCATTTTGCTTGGCTCTGGCTGTCGGTGCTCAGAAGTTGCTTAAATAAGCAGATGGTAAACCAGCAAATGAGCAAAGAGCTGCATCGAGACCAGAGGTGCTTATCTGTCCATCGCTCTCTGGTCTTGCTAATTCTCACACCACTCTGTATTAAGAAACATCGTTTCTGCATCCTATTTAATGGTGTTTCTTTAAAGCAGCTATCAGTGACTGCTAACCGAATGTCAGTCTTCATAAATGGTTCTCGGAGGATCCAGTCACCGGCAGGCTTGCCCTCTCTGAACACAAGCAGCGAGTTCTGCCTCCAACTGTGCCCCCCAGATGACCTGAAGCAACCTCACCAGGTTGCTTCCCTCGAACGCTGTAGGACTGCAAAGAACAGACAGAGCACCCACACACGTGACATTAAAGTCTGCGCGTGGACTATGGTGACCTGTATTGATTAAAGGAAGAGAAATTCTGTACTAAGGAGCTGAGATGCATTTCTGACAAGGACTTATACAGAGTTGAAAAATTTTGAGACCGAAAAAGTGCTGGACACAGTCACTTTCACTTGGAGGTGCTGTCACATCCTATACTCTAAGAATAAAGCTTTTTGTTTGTAAAAATAAGCTTTTTGTTTGTTTGTTTGATCTATAGTCCAATGTATAAGAGACACAGAAGTTCCCTTTCCCTGCATCAAAAGTGGTAGATGTTATTATTGAAAAAATGCTAGAATAAATAGCCCTAGTTCCATAACCTTTGGGGTTTCAAGTTACACATTCAGATCAAATCGGGAATTGCTCCAAGGAGAGTCTGAAAGACACAGCCTATAGTAAGGTATATAAGGTTTGCTGCTGGAAGAGTAAAAGATGAATGGACTATGGACAGAACACTGGGTGGTCACAGCTTGAAAAACACAAGTGAAAAGAGAAATATACCAGAAAAGGGATTTCTGAGTTGGTTTTTTCCCCCTACTGTTAGCCTAATTATATTTTTTCTGCTGACTGGTTAACACTGATTAAATGCTGATAAAGTGACAATCGTAAGCACACTTTTAGCAACAAATATGTATACTATGCGGCCATCACATTACAACGTTAAAAGAAAACTCCCCAAACAAATTTATGAAAGTAGAGGTCCCTTCTGGAAACTACAGACTGCCTCTTAGCCACTCTTAGACCATATGTTATTCTGAAAACTAGATAAAAATACTATTCATTAAAGGTGTTAAAAGTAAGGCTGCCAGGGTGTCTATAAAATGCCAGTCATCAAAACTATGGAAAAACAGTGCTTAAGTTTAGAAAAATAAGATCCTAGGACCTCGGATGTACTGGAGGCGTCCTTAACTAGCTGTAGTTTAAAAGTTTTGCTATCTGGTACAGTGTAACATACTGTGTTATAAATTCCATAGGGGAAGTAAACATAGAACCCACGACAACAACCCATCCAAGGAGTTATCACTGAAAGTAACAATGTGTTTCTGTTCCATGATCTCTAGAGGAAAAACAAAACAGTTTACAATTTAAAACAATTTTTTCTTTGAAGCATTAAATTACTTATACCATTTTAAACTGCGAAAGTCCCACCCAGAAAACTAAACTTTCCTGCCTTCAATCACAATCCTGAACATCAGTGGCAAATCAGAATCTCTTAGGTGAATCTATAGGAATCAATCGATTTTTTTCCAAAGCACGATATGCCTTATATCTATGCATGGCAGAAAAGAACTGCTCTTAAAATCCCACAAAACAAGCCAAGTAATCAAGATCCCCTGTCCCTGTCCCTTCTGTTTCTTCCTAATTGTAATTAGGCAGAGCAAAGACACTGCGTCCACAAAATAAGAATTAATGACAGTAATAATATTAAAAAAAAAAAGGTATGTCAACATCTTAGGGAAGGTGGGACTGTAAGTGCAGTATTTCTTCATGTGCAGTTTGTTACTTCATAGGGGTCCCCTTTGGAATGAAAAGGCCTAGTGGAATGTGTGCTCCCCTCGAACAATGTGTGATGAAAACTCGTAACGGTCCTGGCTCCTGTAGCCACAGATGTTGCATTCCAGTGGGTCCCGGTAGCCATGGCAACCCATGTGAATGGTGTACATGACATGGTCTAGGAAAAGGACGCGGCAGTGCTCGCACTTGAAGGCCCTAATCTGTTCTCCTTCTCCATTGAAGACTTTGTAGATGTCCTTCAGAGAGCCCTTGGGGGCCTTGGTGGTATCCAAAGCCTTGACATCCTCCTTCATGTAGGCTGGGCTTTGTTTCCTCTTGGGATTTAAGGCAGGGTTTCCTTGGTAGGACTGGTGGTCATCGTGGCTGCTTTCTGAGTCAGTAGAATCCAGGCAGCTATTGCTGGGGGAGGCCTCTCTTTCCTGGGGTCGACTCTTTGGTCTGATGAGAGAGATGGGGCCATCCATGTTGTTCTCGTGACTGTCGGAGGTTTCCCTGCTAATGGGTCTTTCTATCCTGTTTGGATGATAGACCTGAGAATAAGCTGAGCTCATCACTGGGGCCACCTCAGCGATTGTGCTTGGCGGGTGCTGCATCAGCGGGTGAAGGGCCTCGGCTCCAAGGTAGGTGATTGCATTGTTGATGGCTTGGTCCATCATATGAGACTGCATCAGCTCAGCCTCCTTCTCATACGTTAAGTTCATATCAAAGTGAATGTCTGGGTAGCTGAATCGCATGAGCTTTTCCCCTGAAAGAGGGAGGGGAAGAAAAGCAACAAGGAAAAAAAAGGGACACAATAAAATTAGTGGTTGGGTTAAAAATATAAAAGTACAAAGCTAACTAATCAAATCCATGTTCCATAATATGGTATATCTTATTCTTTAGACCAAGTATGTAGGCTCTTTAATTCTGCTGAGATTCATAGACACTCTAAACCTGAAAAGGGGAGTAGTAATAAAAATGTCACAAGCCATTTATATTTGTTCTAATGCCATCGTGAAAATGTGTCCAGACTGAGAAGTATAATTGAGTGTTTAATCTCATTTTAATTCAATATTAAAATTTCCACTTGTCTAGAGCTCAGCAAATATAGGAGAAAGAAAAAATACCAGGTGAAAATAAGTCAGAGACTATGCTTGTTTTTGCATATTTTAAACATCAGTGACCAAGTCACAAAGATAAAAAAAAACACAAAAAAACCTAGACTGATCTGGTTATAAAATCTGTCAGCTCACTATGGTATAGGGTTAATTTGGTTGATTTAGCTATATATTAAAAAAACAATTTTTTTTGTTAATCCTCACCTGAGAATATTTTTTTCATTGATTTTTAGGGAGAGTGGAAGAGAAAGGGAAAGACAGAGAGAAAAACTGATGTGAGAGAAATACATCGATTGGTTGCCTCCTTTATGAGCCCTGACCAGGGCCCAGGCCAGGTAAAGACCTGCAACCAAGGTACATGCCCTTGACCAGAATTGAACTCGGGACCCTTTGGTCTGCAGGCCAATGCTCTATCCACTGAGCCAAACTGGCTAGGGCATGAGATCAGTTATTCATATATTTATTGTGACACCAATTTGCAAAGCTGTGAGATTTTCCCCAAAAGTACTAGCAGTTATGTAGATATGGCTTCACTAGACAGTGCGGTTTTACCAGGAGGAGGAGATAGGAGAACAACACATCAGGAGAGTCAAGAATATTGGCAAAAGAGTAGAAAAAGTGATGAGCCATGGAATTGAATTTGGATAAGAGAGGAGACTAACATATATGCAGAAAGCTCAGGGATCGCTGGCTGAGAGGGCTTGGCAAGGTCAAAGAACAGTACTGACTGAGGGACATTGTGAAAAGGAATGTACATTAAGTGTGGAATGATGAAATCTTCATTTCAGATATGGAAACAGTTAGTAGGCAATTGCTATCTATTACTACTAAGGCAGAATCCAAATAAAGAAAAAAAGCCCATCAAATTCCTAATAAAAATCTGAAGTCATTACTTTAGAATCAAAATGTAAATTAAAAAACCTGTCCCTCTTTTCTAAGGAATGTAATAAAATCAAATTGAGACTAGCATTTCTAAGTCATAAAAAAAGAAAATGTTTTAAAAAGCAGAGCTAAATAAATTCAGAAGACAGAAAAAATAGTAATATATTTCATATTTTCCCAACTACACTACTGTCTAGTTGAGATATAGGCTTTTAATGGACATCCATCAAATTAGTCAATTTTAAAAATAGATGAACTTCCATTTAAATAAAGAGAAAGAGACAGAAAGGAAAGTCCCTGAGGGCCCATGGCAGGCCTCTGAATATACTCTCAAGGGCTTCACATCGACCTACTATGAACCGTGGTCCTTAGGGCTACCCTCAGCCTTCTCTCAATAAGCTCTGTCATTAATCTCTCCAGCTTCCTTAAGGCGATATTTTGGTGATTTGTTAGTTCTTCAGTTTTGGAGTGAAAGGAAACCTTCTCTGTTCTTATTGGAGTCACAGAATTTTATTACCCTTTCCTCCCTGAAATAACCAAGATTTTCTGCCAATCGCCATTCAACTCACATAAGATATTCCACAATGATTTTTACAATAGAATGTGAGAATCCATTAGAGTATTTTTTATTTCTTCTAATTTCTACCCCGTATAAGGTTTATAAAAATAGATATTACATATACAATCAATGACAATTCTTCACTTTGAATCTCTATTATTTACACGGTCTTTAAAAATTAGATGCTTTTTGTATCCTCAGAGATACTTTATGACTTACAATATGCGGAATGATGCCAACTCTGAGTACATGAAAGAATATTTATGGGCATGGAAATGTAAAAGGGAGGCCTAATACATCATTTAATCTTTTCAGTTCAAAATCATAGGCTGGGTGTAAACAAAGATCCAAATATGAAACATCTTGAACGTAGGTTGCTGCATTATTTTTTCTAGTGCAAAATTAAAATAATGAGAGAGGTTTCTTTTTATCCTAGATCAAATACTAAACACATTAGCATCATGTACAGAAAACAGTTTAAAGACCTGGTGCAAAAGAAAATTTTAAAACGCAATGCAAAACTGGCTAACAGCCTACATCATTTCCCTAAAATATTATTTTTAATTTAAATGAACATTTTATTTTTACAGGCTGTGTCAATTTATATATCATTTCATTTTGAGACAGCAATTTGCTACTATCAGTCTTTCCTTTGTTTCTCTTTCTTCAGCTCATATACTTTGTGTGTGTGTGTGTATGTGTGTGTGTGTGTGTGTGTGTGTGCGTGTGCACATGCAAGTATGATACACATTCTTTGGCATAAAGCAGAAAAGAATAATGGAGAAAAGAGACTAATGTTTATTTCATGAACGGAAATACATCATATATACTTCCTATACATGGGAACATGTCTTTGCCCATTAAAAATCACCTTTTTAAAGAAATAAAAGCATTTGTAATGCTTACCCACAAACTTTTGTGGAGTGGAGCTTTTACGTTTTCCCATATTCCCCGTGAGCTTCTCTATGACAGCAGGTCTCTCAAAAGGCACCAGAGAAATATTGTTGTCCATAATAGGCTCTTGTTCCTTACAATCTTCTATAGGAGGTACTATATAAAACCATACAAAAATGCAATCTCATAATTTCTTCAACACTTTACAGGTACAAAGCTGAATTTGCCATCTCAACATGTGTTATACAAACATAAGCTGGTATGCTGGAGCAGAAGCAAGTAGAAAGGGAACCTCCAGTGTTCGAGTCCCCGGTAGTTTTACTCTCACACACAGAGGATTTCTTTTTATCTGAGTCTCTCTCAGATCAATAGCATAAACTGTTGCCACTTTTATGGGTGGCAAACATGTTCATCTTGCTTCTCATCTTATGCCCCTGAAAGTGTTTTTAACAGTGATTAAAATCAATACTACTTTAAGACTGCACTATTCTCAAGGCTTTTGGAGTTTATTTTTGTAAAACCATTTAAGTCCACTTGTTTGCAGAAAAACTTCAACAGACACACAGAATAACAGCACAATATTTGACCAGGTGGTTTGTTTTTCATCCATGTATTTTCTTGTAACAATTTTTCTATTTGATGAGCTGAGTGAGCCGGTGGCCCCATTGAGCCTCCTGAAGGAGATTCCATTCTGAACATGCCGACGAAGCTGGCTGCTTCATGATTGTAATTTATTTTAACAAGAGCTCTTCAGCAGGATAAAAGAATCTATTTCCAAACTGGCATATTTGCTCACTGAACTGCTCTAACGTATTCGGCATAAACTTTCCAATGCTGCTCCCTCTTCATCCCATTTCGTTAAGTTGCTATGGGCTAATATACTAGCTCCGTGGTCGGCAGACTGTGGCTCACGAGCCACATGCGGCTCTTTGGCCCCTTGAGTGTGGCTCTTCCTAAGCCTTAGGAGTACCCTAATTAAGTTAATAACAATGTCCCTACCTATATAGTTTAAGTTTAAAAAATTTGGCTCTCAAAAGAAATTTCAATCGTTGTACTGTTGATATTTGGCTCTGTTGACTAACGAGTTTGCCGACCACTGTAGCTCATAGGTTATACATTGACATGCATAGTGTAGACCAGTGGTTCTCAACCTTCTGGCCCTTTAAATACAGTTCCTCATGTTGTGACCCAACCATAAAATTCTTTTCGTTGCTACTTCATAACTGTAATGTTGCTACTGTTATGAATCGTAATGTAAATATTTGATATGCAGGATGGTCTTAGGCGACCCGTTAAAGGGACGTTCGACCACCAAAAGGGCCGCGACCCACAGATTGAGAACCACTGGTGTAGACAAAGAACTTGTAAAAGTTGTTTTTGAATAAAAATATTGTCAAAAACATTTAACCAAGGACAGATTTAACTAGGTAACATATGAGGACAGACTGAGATCAGCTGATTAAAACCATGTTCATAGGAAAGACCATAACTTATTGCTTCTTGATTACTGTTGATTTCTCCAATTGTATCTGTGCCAATACTGTTTGGAAACCGCAGGGTTTCATATCTTAGGCTATCATTACTTGTTCAGCATGCTCTGAATAGTGATTTATTCTGCTCCTTGCATTTGCAAAGGATAGTTCACTGTGCGAAACACAATGCATTCTCATTTATAAGGGCGGAAGCTAAAATAAAGTGAGAAAGCAAGAGATGAAAGTTAAGAAAATCCAGTGCACAATTCAGGTGACCTAGTTAATAGCAATATAGGTTGCATATTTTGAAAAAAATGAAAAACAGCATCATAAAATTGTTTTCCTAAATTGGATATGTTTAAAGAGATCAACATTCAATCTAAAGTTTGGGATTAACCTAATGTAGTCTGGTAGATGGGCCAGAAAATTTTAATCTTAATTCTCTGTTTCATAACAGATCCTCCGGTTACTGATGACAAGGGATTCTAGAATTATTGGATGTTAATTTGGAAAAAAAAATTCCAAGAACAGATTCAGAAACAAGGAAATGCTTTGCTCATTTGTTATACTGATATAATTAATAATATTACCAGGTGGAAAAAGTATGTCCTACATTATGTATGTCCTATCTTAGAAAAAACTAAAATTAAAAAAGAAAAAAAGAACGTAAAAAGTAAAGCAAAGAGAGGATTCAAATAAGGGGGTACAGGAGGATGGAATGGCAGTGGTGATGTAGTGGGGAACCATGCAATTAGATGCAGATTATTGTCAAAATCTTAACTTGTTTTGGGTGGATTCTCAGGCACTTACTATATTATTTAAAAAGTACCTATAGACCAAATAACTATAAATCAAAGATGAAAATATGTCACAGACCAAGATCCCAAATTAAAGACGAAAAAAAAAAAAAAAGTTTGTTGTAAATTTTGCTAAAAAACAGCAAAACTGGTTAACAGGGTTTGTCCCAAAATTGAATATACTAATTAGTTTTGAAATGAGTAGTCTAAAACTTAGCAGTTTTGCTCTAAGTCTCACCTTGAATTTTCATATTTGCACACATTTAACATTCAAAACGAAACCTGGGTGTGGGAACTGTCCCACACCACATCCACCTCAATTCAGATGATTTGTCCCAAGTTCAATGAAGCTCATGTGAACTGAAAACAATGACTTTGGCAGAGCTCTGGTCTAAGTTGTGCGTTGCAAAAGTCCTGTACAGATCAGATGTTGAGCCCGTTTCTACCGTATTGACAACAACAATAACAACAAGAGCTGACGTGCTAAGGATTTGCATTTAATAATTCATTTAATGGTTTCAATAACCCCCTGAGATACAACTGCCTTCTCCATTCTACAGGTCTGGAAACAAAGACCCAGATGTGATGTTATTCCCTCAGGGTCTACATCTAGTTAGTAAGGAATACAGTACATGAGTTGAACCTAAATGGTCTAGTTCCAGGGACTGGGCTCTTAGCCACTATGCTGTAGTATTCTTTTTAGACATAATTTGAATTTTGACTTTATATAAACAAGATTGACATATTTTTATGGTCTGCCATTGGGGAAATATCTGATACATTTTCTCAATTATGTAATTAACCTGAACCTTTTGCTTTCACGAATCTGTGCAACTCATCAAAATGTTTCTGGATACACTGGGTGGTGGGCAAAAGTAGGTTTACACTTGTGAGTATGTTTAGTTAACTCAATGATGTGTTACTCCCATAATGAGACATTCATCTAGGCTATGAAAATACCAATATGCTAACTTCACTTGTTGGAGCAAACTTCATAACCAAATATCTTCTTTAGAGTTATTTTTAAAGATATAACCAGGATAAAAGTAGATTTGTACTTGCATTATTTTATTATCTCATCTCATTGATTAATCATAAAGACAGAACCATGGTATTCCCAACATAGAGCTACTGTACTGAACCATCCACTTAAATTTCAAACTCAAAGAATACACAATCTGAGAGACCTAGATTAGATCATTTGTCCATCCCGTGACCAGAAGCAGGCCCGGCCCCCAGACCGACAGTCCTGCCATGGCTTCCTACAATGAGAGACAGTTCTCTAAAGGGAAATGAAAGTCTGTTATCAAAAGAAGAAGGAAAGTATGTAGGGCAGGCAAAAACAACAAATGTCTTCTATATTCTCACATATTTTCTCCATGTTGTTGAAGCTAAAACAAACTTTTCAGTTATCTGAGTTATTTTCTTGAGAACATTGGACAGTGCTAATACTTGTGTTGGCTTCTGTCAAATCACTCTTTCCATTTTCAAGCCTTCTGCTCTTACTCATCTTCATGCCTTTTATTTTTTTTTAATTTTTTTATTCCTGATGTGTTCTTGACCTTCTAGATGTCTCACTATATTCTTAGCTATATAATTTATAAAACTTGTTACTTTAGGCTACTATCTATATAATGATGGCTCCCACAACTTTATTTCCTACCCACCCCTCTCTCCAGATCTTTTTTTAAAATATTTTTATTGATTTCAGAGAAGAAGGGAGAGGGAGAGAGAGAGATAGAAACATCAACGATAAGAGAGAATCACTGAATGACTGCCTCCTGCACATCCCCTACTGGAGATTGAGCCCGCAACCCAAGCACGTGCCCTTGACTGGAATTGAACTTGGGACCCTTCAGTCCACAGGCCGAGGCTCTATCCACTGAGCCAAAACAGCTAGGGCTTTCTCCAGATCTTGATATACATGCATATATCAAGAATATATATACATATACATATACATATACATATACCTAATATATATATCTATACATACAATATTTGACTTCTTCTTAGATTCACTTGGCTATCTCTAATAGGTACTTAAAGGATAATGTGTTGAAAAACTGAAATCTCCATTTCCCTCCCCAAACTTTCTCTTATTTCTCTAATTTCCAACTCTGTGAATCACATTACTACCTACCTGATCATCCATGCTAGATAATTGTGGCAGATTCTAGATTTCTTCCTTTCACCCAGTCTCCTCTTCCCTACCAGCTCTCCATATATATGGAGAAAGAGGAGAGGGAGAGAGAGAGAGGGGAGGGAGAGGGAGAGGGGGAGGGGGAGGGAGAGGGAGAGGGAGAGACCAAGTGTTTTAGATTGAACATCTACAGTTGCTCCCAATTACCTGAATTTTCTGGATATTGTAGGCATCTAAGCACAACTAATCAGTAGATTGTTGCAATGGTCTACTTGCTTCTATGTCAACTCTTCTGATCTATCTCCCATATTTCCAGCAATAAAATTTTAATGTAATAATGTTTTTTTAGGATAAATTACAATTCTTCACTTAGTACAGAGGCCCTTGATTCCCTGTTCACAGCCTCAATCTCTTAGCCTTACCACCCTCCAATGCTTCTTGCCCTTACAAACTGGGCTCTGATTATACATGGCTGCTTCTAGGTCCGTAACCTACCCTGCTGTTGTACATTTCTATGACTTCACACATGCTGTTCTTTCTGCATGAAACACCCTCCTCCACTTACTCAGCTGTCTATATCTCCTTTCAAAAGTCCACTCGAACATAACTTTCCCTAGAAATTCCTCTTGGGTACCCAGAGGTGTGCCCTCATAATGCTTATCACAGTGTTCTCACTGTAGGTTTACAGGTCAAATCCTTCCAAGTGTTTGTAAATGACCTTAGGGTAGAAACTGCTTTTTATTTGACTTTGTATCTGTAGTGCTTTTTATGATGTGAGACAAATATACTAGTCAATGGATGTTTCCTAAGTGATTTCATGAAGGAAATGTTACCCAATGAAAATAGGGTGAAAAAGTATACTGGAAGGTTTACAGGTTCCCAGTATGTCTCCATACTTACAATAAAGAAATTCTCTTTACCAAATCATCCAAACCATACATTTAAAAAGCTATATTTTTTTCTTTAAAGTCAACTATCTTTCCAGTTTACACTTCCATTTTTGTCTTTGGGCAAGGGGAACACTTAATTATATACTTTGATTTTTAAAGCTTTTTCTTCAAGCTGAATAGACTTGCAAAATGAGCATAAAATATCTTTCAAATAAGATAATGTGCCATAAAACCAAATTCATTATTATCTTTATTTTTAAAATTATAAGTTATTGTTTTTCCCTTTCCATCAAACTAAATAACTTTTTTATTCTACCTGCTGAATATGTCTTCAGCGTTTCGCCCTGTCCTCATCTCCTGCTACTGCCTATTCCTCTTCTCTGTGGCATTCTCACTTCCCGTCTCTCCTAACATGCCAGTAAGGCATCCATCCTATATGCGACCTGGGTGCCATTTTTCTTTAGAAGACACAAATGAAGTTAAAGAATGCTGCTCTGATTTCGGACACTTTCTCGCTAGAAGAGCCAACATGGGAAGAACATGTTTTGGGAAAGAGAGGCTAGGAAATATAACTATGCCAGATATGAAAATAAAAGAATAGTAATTAATTTCAAGGAGCTAATGGCAACCATAAGTATAGCAACTGCCATATATACTACAAGAAGACAAAAAAATAGAGAAGATGTAACAAGATAGTAAGAGAGGGAAGGGGGTACAAATGATTTCATTGTGGCTCTGTTTAAAAGGAGACACATGCCAAGCAATGCCTATGAGACAAGGTTCATGATGAACTCTAGCAGCATTCACCCGTATTTTTCTCTCCTATGGCATTTATTAATTCCTACTTCATACATTCAATTCTCCACCAAGTATGCTAACTATTATTACAATACACCTAGAAAAAGTACCACAGTAAATGTCATTAATGTAACCTTAGGTGGTGAAGTCAATATCCAATATTGAACAAATATTTGGGTCTATAAATGATATCGACACCTCTCCCTCCCCCCTCTTCCTTGGCTTTGCCCCTGGTCTTCCCAGTACCTGAGGGTCTCCCTCAGCGCCCCCCCCTTTCCCCAGTGCAGTTTCAGAGCCACCTGCAAAGGGCCTTTGCCGTGAAGACATAAGCAAGCTGGAAAGTGGGGCTGATGCTGAGGCTGCAGCTGCTTAGAAAAAAGTCTTTCCCCTTCCCAAAACACACCTGCTCAAACTGCTCGTCAGCACTTACTCTGTAACCGGTTAATCGGCCAAGAGATAGTTAAATGTCGACTATATTTATGTATACCGATCTCCCTATAACAATATAAAGTCTTCTGGAGAGATCCCCTCTCATTCAGATGTGCATGCGACCTCGAGTTGTATAAATAACTATGATCAGAAAAGTGAATTAATAGAATCACTAATCCAATCAAATGTCAAAACTGAAATAAGAGACCATTAAATGGCGAAAGTAGTAGAGCATAAGGTGTCTTTGGAAATCTGTGGCAAGCTTTGGCATGGCCCCAAGCCTCTATAAGCTATCCTGCCTCAAGCCACCTCTATAACCAATACTTCAAACAGAAATAGCGTGCTTCGTAGGCAAATGAAACCTCTAATGCCAAAATTAATGCCAGTAAGTAACATAACTTTAAAGGGGATTGAACATTTACTACTTCTTAATATTTAATGCCCAGAAATGTACTAGTAAAAAGAACTATTTATTGGGTGTTTATTGCACACCCAATAACATTTAATTCTCATGCCAAGCCGATGAGTAACACACTCAGACACCACATAGCCAGACCAGGTTTGCTGGACTCACACCTCTTTAACCTCTTTGCTCTGGAACCTATGCTACGCTCATAAGCCCAGGTAATCCAAGCTTACATTATCAAATTTGACAAGACTTAAAACAGAGAGGTTTTAAATTGTTTTAGTTAATAATAATAACAATATAATAAAAAATGGACTGGCAACCATGCACAGAACTAAATCTGATCCTTTATATTATATAAACTAGCCTCAATGCAAAGACATGCTTCAATTATTCATGATAACAAAATATTTTATCTAAAAAGAATTCCCAACAACATATAATCACTAGCTATCCAATAAACGGTTTCATAGTATGCACCATATAAAACAAACAAAAAACACACAAATAACCTTAGGGCTGTCTATAAATCACTCAATAAATATTTATACTTTAAAGGTGACTATAGCAATCTCCAATTATTCTGTTTAATATTGGCCAAATCTTTTTATATAACAGATATAAAAATACCAATAATTTAAGATTTGTATATGTTCCTGTATGGATAATAGGATAAAAAATATAATTAATAGGACAAAACAAGATGCCTCCAAATCTAAAGAAGTGAACTTAATAACTTCCTTGTGTAAGGATGATTTACTCACATGAATTTTAGAGTTATTAACTGATAAATCTTAGAGACTGCCTTCCATCTGCCACTGTGTATTCTGGAGACCAGGATGACTTGCTTGGGTTTTGATTTCTGTGCATGGAAGTGGTGCCTAATTTTGATCTAGTCTGTGCCCCACACTTGCAGAAAGAAAATCAATAATTTCCAAGATAATTCACAAGACATTTTGGAGAAAATTCCAATTATATCAACAATCACTTACCTAAGAGAAATGTGCACATAGCTAATTACATCTTTCAGGAAGCCCGTAGACTTATGTGGGACCATCTCTAGCTATCTGAATAAATAGTACCTTCTTTTGGTGTCTTCAAGGTCACCTGCCATTATTATGTTAATTCAAACACTTGTTATGAGAACTAATTGGGGAGTATGACAAAAATTCAATATAGTTTGTTTCCAAAGCGTCCGTCCCAAAGCTCAAGTCTTTTCAAATGCTTAAGAAGAGAATGCCATACAAAGCTAATGTGATCTAAAGTTGATTGTTTTAAACAAAGATTTGTTTCCTTTATGCTGAAGGGTAGACAACTCTTTAACCCATACAAAACTCTAAAAGCAGTAGAGAGGGGTAATTGCATTGTGAATGCCAGTTCTACCCACCGTGGTGACTCATGACCTGGCCCGCAGCCTCCATGCTGACATTCTGGAGATAGTTGTGGCAGCGTTCCTTGTGCTCCTCCAGTGAACTGCGCTGCTTGTAGCTTCGTCCACAGTAGTTGCACTTGTGAGGTTTACCCACTGCGAAGAGACGTCGAGATTAGTGTGCTGCCAGTCTCCCCCAAAGCAAAATTAATAGCTCACTTCTGGTGGTGTGGAGGAAGCATTTATAGGCTTTTCAGACTTAAATCTCTTCCTCCTCCACACTCTTAGATAATAAAATCTCCACCAAGACTAAAAGACAGAAAGAAGATAAGGCAGATCGTGCCTTCGGCGATAGGGGAAAGACTGAATCAAATTCATGCTCTGACTGTATGCTACATGATCAGTCTTCAAATTATCTGACTCTAACACTAACAGTGACTCTTACACAATTCTCTCAGCTTTGACTCATTCACAAGACAAATCAGGAATGCCCTAGATACATGACGAGAATTATCTTTTATTTTATTTTTTTTGGGTGGTGGTGGTAAGGACAGAGAATCTTACTGAAGAAAACTAGAATGTGACAACTCAAAATGTCATTGTTTAATGAGAAAATTATTCATGGGTACCAAGAAGACCAAAAGGAATTCAAGTGATGAGAAAAAGCACAGATAAAAGCAAGGTTTCTCTTTTCTTTCCACCTTGGTAATAGCTATTCACACATGCAAAACTTTACAGCAGATAAAGCGTATTCTCCCACATCACCACTGTTCTTATATTACCAAGAATTAACCTACTAGGCGCTTTCGGTCGGGATTAACAATAACCACGGAAGCCCTCACACGGTTAGTTATATGATGATAGTAAGTAATGTTTTCCAACACACTTCACATTCAGGAAGTAACTGATTTCCTAATAGCCAGAGAGCCGTATTTCAGTATACCTGGTAAAATACTGTGATGACCACTTAAAAATAAACAAAAACACTTTACAATATTGATTAAGAGGGAAAAAACACATTTATGGAAAGAGGCATGTTTTAATGTATGACTATTCACCTGGATGTCACAGAGCACTTTGATTTTCGGTTTTGAATAGTAAGGGGAAAAAACATATGCCCCCAGGTGGTCTGTGCCTCGGCCTTCAGTAGTACAGGCTGAGCCAGGTCAGGAGCGCTCTTTGACTCCCATAGCAGTTACTTTGTTTTGCCCACACGACACTCCTTTTCATGGCCAAAATAGAGCATTCCTGAGTCCAGCCACCTTAACGCACCAACGCTAGACACTGGTTATAAGTGGGGTCAAGATACTGTAACAAGGCAAGATATTCATAGGTAGATAGAAGTTGCATTGTGCTGATTTTTGTTTTAAACAAAGCCTTTAGATTGCATTTGAGATACACATAAACTAAACTAAGTTGTTTCATTATTATCCTTTTTTTGGTAAACTATCTTAAATAAACGAGAGTTTCTAAGGCATGATTACTCATTTCTAAAAATACTAGCCAAAGTAACTTCTATTATTCAGAACCGAGGATTTCTGAGAAGTGGAAACCAGGTAGCTGTGTATATCGTGAAGAATTGATGTCACTGTGTAAGAGCTATTAAAAAATACAAGAAAAACGCTTTCAGTAAAAAATATTTCATGCAAATAATACAAATATATCTACATGTAATTACATTCCAAGACAAGGGGCTACACATAACAAAATGCCTTTGTTTGCTGTAACTAATACTCAGCTTTGGGCTCTTTAGTGCTGTTTCTTTAGAAATAAATGAGGGATTTGTATGGAGAAAGTCTATCAAGCAATTAATACTTATTAAGCATATGCACTGAAATTAATTGTCCACTATAAACTAGTTCTGTCATCTTATTCTTCCTCTTCATTATTCCTATTGCACTGCATCCTATGATACCTGTGTTCCTGTGAACATAACCTACTATACTTCCCCTTATTTATATAAGCAAACTTGATACCTTCTCAACTTAACTAAAATGTACTTCCTTTTTACTCCCCCTGGCTCACGATCCTCCATAAACTCCCAATACACCTGACAAGGAGAAAAAGATGACACTTTATACTGCTCTCAAGACTCACTTTATTACCCCCCTCATGTCTGAGGTCTACCCGTTTGCTTTACTTCAGCTCCTCCCATTTTGTCCTGGGCTTTAAAATGTCACTCTTGTGCTAGCCGGTTTGGCTCAGTGGATAGAGTGTCAGCCTGTGGACCAAAGGGTTCCAGGGTTCAATTTCAGTCAAGGGCACATACATTGGTTGCAGGCTCCTCCCTGGTCCAGGCCTTGGTCAGAGTGTGTGCAGGAGGCAACCAACTGATGTGTTTCTCTCACATTGATATTTCTCTCTGTCTTTCCCTCTCTCCCTAAAAATCAATGGAAAAACATCCTCAGGTGAGGATTAAAAAAAAAACAAAAAACAAAACACAAACTAAAACATCACTCTTGTCTGGCCAGCATGGTTCAGTGGTTGAGCATAGACTGATGAACCAGGAGGTCATGGTTCCATTCCTGGTCAGGGTACATGCCCAGGTTGTGGGCTCGATCCCCGGTATGAGATGTACCGGGGGCAGCAGATCAATGATCCTCTCTAACCATTGTTGTTTCTCTCTCTCTCTCTCCCTCTCCCTTCTTCTCTGAAATCAATAGAGGTATATTTAAAAATAAATCAAACATCTCTCATTCCTCTTCATCCTATCTTTGTTCTTGTTGAGTCCAAGGAATGAGAGTAAACTTTTCTAAAAACAGTAACCCCACGTTTCCTAATTCTTCAACTGCACCCCACTCCAGCAATCCCCGTACCGGGTGACATGTTGGACTCTGACAGCTCATAACTATTTCACCTGCAGATTTGCTTTGGAAATGCTCCACCTTTCCCCTCTCATTTGCTATGCATTGATGAAGAGCTTACTGTGCACCAACACTGTGATGAGGCTGGGTTGTAAAATGGAGAACAAACCTCAAGGTGGCTATCCTCATGCAACTGACAGCTGGCTGAGGGAGGCGGGCATTTAGAAAATACACAATATATTACAAATTGCGGTAGATTCTGCAGAACAAGAGAATGCTGTGCTGGTCTAACATAAGGAACTTAATTTAGTCTGCGAAGGCTGCGCAGGGAGTTCTTCCTGAGGTAGGAGCATTTAGGCTGATAACTGAAGAATAAGCAGAAGCGAGATAATGGGGGGAAGAGGGTGGAGTGGAGGAGAGGCCCTGTTTCAGAATTTCCCGGAACTGCCTTCATCTCTTTCTATTTGCTCTCACATTTTTAGCGCCTTCAAAGTCTAGATCATGCCCTTACATGTCTTTTGAACACTATTTTCAAACATCATTAAGGATCCCGGCCAAATCTAATGGCACTACTACCTCCATAAGACCATTTCCTGTCATCTCTTTGATATTTCTTAAAAATCATGTCCATGAAAATATGTTTAGTATTTATTCTCTACATATGATGAGTTTATCAGTGCAATGCTTACTTATAAACTTATGAATTAACATGTATACTAATTGAAGAGGACCAGTATTTTGCTACTTTCATTTTTATAAATAATATTATACATTCTCTCCAGCTGTAACATCTTCATTCTGATATTACTGAAGCATTTTAAAAAGTCATCAATAGCCCGAATCACTAAGTAGAGTGGACTTGAATCAATCCTAAGTCTGCCTAATTTCTTGGTCCTTATAAACTTGTGTGTGTCTTGAATCTCCTGTTTTATTTAGTGTCTGGGATCAGATGTTGTGGGCTTCTCAACCTCTTCCTTCCGGGTGTCCCCAAAAATGCATACACACACTTTGAATAATTATAAAGGCAGTGTTTATTAAAGTACCTTTCATTTTCAACATTGAGCTATCAGCTGTTAAAGTGTGTATACATATTTTGGGGACACCCTGGATATGAATCTCTAGATTTTGTTTCCAGTAGTCTCTTTTCCCTGGAGATCAAACCCTCATTTCTGTGAAACATCCACATTATGCCTGGAATAATTTCCCATAGTTGTGAGCTCCCACTTGTCATTTAAACCTTTTTAAAAATGATCGTGGTGACTCCAAAGACTTAGTTCTCTCCTCTGTGTTTTCACAGCATTGTGTTCATACATATGCTAATTGCTTTGTAATTATATATTGGGTAACTATTTATTTCCCTGATCCAAACAATGAGCTCTCATAGGCACAGGGGTCATGTTTTACCCAATTGTGAATTGATAGTGCTTAAGGCAGTTATTAAGCATAGGAGATACTCAATATGTATTTGCTGAATGACTGTACTTGAAACTCCAAATACCTTCTAAGTACTGCCTCATGCATATTCCTCTGAAATCTAAAATTCCACATATCCATTTTAAAATTGTCTTTATTGATGTATAATTTACATAAAATAAAATCCACCCACTTGAAGTGTATTTTCAAGGAGTTTAGAGTATATAGTTGTGTAACCACCACCACAACTAAAATATAGAACCTTTCTGTCACTCTATAAAAAAATCTCTCTTGCTCCTTTGCACCAATTCCCTTCCCCACACTCAGTCCATGGCAACCACAGTTCCGCTTCTGTCACTACAGTTTTGCCTTTTAAGGATTTCACATAAACTGAATCAGGCAGTATGTAGCATTTTGTGTCTGGCTTGCTTCGCTCAACATAATGATTTTGAGATTCATCCATGGTGTTGCACGTATTGATAGTTGGTTACTTTTTTATTGCTGAGCAGTATTTCATCATATGAATATACCACAGTTTGCTTATTTATTCATTATCTTGGGTTGACTCTTGTTTATGGCTATTAGGAATAAAGCTTCTACTAACATTTGCAGGCACGCCCGTGTTTCCATTTCTTTCAATCGCGGGGTCATATGGTAGGTATCTGATTAACTTCATAATGAACTGCCTGTTTTCCAAAATGGCTATATCACTGTGCATCTCCTCAAGCAATATGTATATTAGAGTTAACAATATTCCAACATGGCATTGCCAATCTTTGTATTTTATTTTACCTGTTCCAGCGGGTATGTAGTGGTACAAAATGGCGTTTTTGTGTTGTCCTAATATCTCATGAGACTAATCGTTTGCCATTCACATTTCACGTATTTTATTTGGTGAATTATCTGTTCAAATCTTTTGCCTTTTTTTTACTATGCTAT